TATATATATATATATGTAGATTTACTAATAAGCGTTATCCATGTCTATGTCAGATTACCCAGTTTCACCTCCACGCTTCACTTTAAGTTGTAGAATGATGAGTTTTAATTAGAAATCTTTCTCAAGACATTGAGATGATTAGGATACTCACACAAAAACAACAAGAAAGCGGCAAATATTCGTGAAAATATTACTGCAAACGAGGATTGCTGGCGACTGAGTTTTCTCTACATAACGTAATCATGCATAAGATATACAGAGTTCCAACGATTATCATGATCAGAGTGAGAAAATAAAGCTTATTGCCTCAGAGGCGAGTGTCGTAAGTAGCACTCGAATTATCTTGTGAGGAGCCATTTTCTACCAAAGCCAGACGATTTCCATTTTCTGGGGGCGAAGTATCGTCTTGAAAACCCTAGTGAAGAGAAAATTCACACGCAAGCTAATCTTATGAAAAATGTTCATATCATTTAATATGTACCGTAAACTTTAATGACTCACTGTTACTTTAAAAATGAGGGACTGGCAGACGTGTTGCTTTGGCTAATAAAAAGAAGGTCGTGGGCGTAAACTCATACTTTCGCCAATCAAGGAAACTGCAACTTTAAAAAGTTCTTGGGGTGCGCTACCCATTAATTTTACGGCACAGTGTGTCCCATGCAAACCAAAAAAGGATTACCCTGAATATTTGACTATCAAATCCGATACAATGTCTAAGTAACAGTGAGCTTTGAGTGGAAAAAAAGAAAGGCGATTAAATTATTTGTACTCCTTTAACCCTCATATCTAACGCGGTATGTGGAAGTTCAATCTTTTCGAACCATTGATCCGCTCAATGAGAGGTTAGAAATATGCTCTGGCAACCTACCTTATTGATGCATCCACTACGTTCCAGATTGGCGACGTTCAGTGAAGGCAAACTAAGCTCAGTCGTTGTTATTTTAGTTGCAGGATTGCTCGCCGTCGCGGATAAAAGGGCTCCTGGTTTACGCAGATAGTGAACTCCTCTTTTTCCATGCTCTGAGCAAGACAAAAAACCAGATTTTGAAATATAATTGACCACCATTTTTAAAAGGTATTTTTGTCAGAAATCTCTCGCGTAAAACCATAACGAAAAATATATGGAAAGAGGAGATGAACTCATCGCTTCTGTTCACCATGACTAGTTATAAATGGCACTTACCTTTACTTTTGGAATGCTTACAAAACCAATCCCGCATTTGAGGCGTGGAAAGAGTATACAGTATGGGATTGACAGAGGAATTGAAGGGAAGTACAAACACCGCCATCCATACATATGCTTTCTTCTCGGGATCATGGAAACTTCCACTCAGCGATAAGATACCAATGATAATCACTGGCATCCAGCAACAGAAGTCTGTTAAAATGATAAAAGCGACTCGTTTGGCGAGGGTTGATTCTCGTTTAACATTCGTGGATCTTATCGAGCTCGATGATTTCACAGCAGACAAAAATATAGCTACATAGGAACACGAAATGAACAGAAATGCAAGTAAATTGAAGCCGATGAATATGCTGACAGAGTATTCCCAGCCAGGCGGCCTGTCATTGGACAGCTGAAGAGCCAGGCATACAGTTGATCTTCCATAGAAGCCATTCCCCTTCCCTTCAACATTGAAATAGCTCAGACCTGACATTGGTAGAAAGGACATGACGAAGCCCAGTAACCAGACCACTAAACAGATCAAATAGCACATCTTAAGACTCAAAGGCTGTACACGAAAATGGAACACGATACAGATGAGTCTGTCGGCGGTGATGGCTGTAAGAAGCATAACCGATACCTGATTAAGAATAAAACGAATTTGATTACCTGTGCGGAAAATTGATACTTTAAAGGCAACCCTAGAAAAACGATCATTTGTCTCCTGTGTTTCTTTCTTTGTCTTAATACAAACACTACCGAGACTGATAATTTGACTCTGATGTCTCAATGCCGTTTAGTATAACCCTCTTAATCAAGGCTATGTCAGCGATCCAGTTGTGTCCGTATCGGCAGATTTGACCATAATAACCTTGCAAAAACTCTGGAACTTAATATCTAAAACGTAGACTGCTGGATCCAAGATACTTTAGTGCGTGCCAGGGATTGCCTTCTTGCGAGGTGTTCCACACGCGCCATTCCTTCTTTTTT